GGACTGGCGGTCCGGCTCTGGCCTCGGAGCTGGGCCGGGTGCCCGGGCGCTAACAGGCTCTCCCCTCAGGTTGGGTCGGTTCTCTGCGGCTCCAAACGACCTCCCTCTCCGCTCGAGCGAGTGCCTGGAAGGCAGGGCCTATGTCCCGAGTCCCTAGCCCAGTGCGTGGCACACAAGGTTAGCTGGGGGCTGCTCCCCTTCGAATATTCTTCGGTTTAGACCCAACTAGGCTCCGGAGTTTACTCCCCGAGCTGTACCTGGGAGGACGGGGCTGAGGCTGACACCTGGATGGATAGTGCCGTCTGGCAACATTTCCCCCTCGCAGCAAACAGCGCAGCCTTTGCTGGAGAATGTAATCAGACTTCATTCATTCAGGAGAGGGGAGGAGAGGGGCTGGAGCCCAGGCCCAGGCCTCCTGTCCTGAAGGCCGCCTCCTCCTCCTCTACTCAACAGAAAAGAAATCCCTGAAACACTCCCAGAGCAAAGCCTAAGACGAGCCTGCAAGTCCTTGTGGAGATTTTTTGCCTTCAAATTCCTCCCCTTGCTTGCTATTATCACATGCCTACACCTCTACACGAATTTGAAAAGATATCTGCACCACTATATTCTTTGCAGCATTCTTTACTATAGCCAAGATATGGAAAAAAACCTAAGTGTCCATGGGGAGGCGATTGGATAAAGAAGAAGTGGTACATATATATAATGGAATATTACTCTCTGACTTTCCAGTCTCTGGACATAAACCATCAGCCTCAAAATAAAATTCTAACGCCCCATAGAGAGGTCCCAGCTAGAGAGCCACTGCGTATCTCATCTCTTTTTCCTGAGTTTCATTTATATTTTACTCTTCTACACCCTGCACCACTATGGAGGTTTCATGTATGTTGTCCTTCCCTCCCAGACTATGGGATTTTAGACCAAAAAGTTATTTATAATTAACTTCTAGTGAGAAACTTTTGGTGTCTGGCAATGGGCAATGCCAGGATGATTGAAGCATGGTCATTGAAGACCTCGAGTTTATGGGAAGTGTGTCTCATATCCAAGTACCACCTGTCCTGTTTATTATTTACTTAAGAGTTTTATTTAAGTGACACTTTTTTTACTTTTATACATTTATTTTAAAATGAAACTAGTGGCCCTAGCTGGTTTGGCTCAGTGCATAGAGCATCAGCCTGTGGACTGAAGGGTCCCAGGTTCGATTCTGGTCAAGGGCACATGCCCAGGCTGTGGGCTTGATCCCCATTAGGGGGTGTACAGGAGGCAGCCAATCAATGATTCTCTCTCATCATTGATGTTTCTCTTTCTCTCTCCCTTTACCTTCTTCTCTGAAATCAATAATTATATATATATATATTGAAACTAATGTATAGGGGTGGGGGAAGACAGTTGTAAAAGGCAGAGAAGAATCATGGCTCCAGCCAAAAAGAGTTATACTAATAGGGGGGAAAAAATTGAAACTATGAGTCCAGGGCCCCAGGGGCAGAGATTAGTGGTCAGGAAGAAGGTGGGAGCAGGGCAGAGGCAGCCAGACCTGGGGTATCTGGCAGATGTGAGGAGGGGAACTCCAACTGGATTTCTGCTTTATAGTATCATTCGGAGGATTAACAGAGATAATGAATATGAAAACTAAGCATGTTGCCTGGCACCTAGTAAGTGCTCCAAACTGTTGGCTTTTATTAGTGGTAGTAGTTTTATGAAGGGCTGGGAAGAAGAGGATAGATTCAATATGAAAACTATAGGGACCACTAAAGCTCCCCGAAGTGGGACATGGGATGCAATATTTTGTGAAAAATTCTTTGGTAGCAGAATTCAGGCTGGTCAGATGGGAAAGTAGGGCCACAGCAAAGGTGTGGTCCCAACGGGTGAAGAGGGGCTGACAACGGAGTAGAAACAACCCCTCCTGAAAAGGAGAAGCCTGCTCCACTCACTCATACATGTGCGGAAGTCAGAGCCTGGCTTGAGGCGGTGCTCAAAAACCCTTTTCAATGAACACCTCTAAATGTTGCATAAGTTGAACATCTTTTTGGAGCTCACAGCCTCAATGACGAGCACTTATAGAATTCCTCTGTGTCAAATACTAGAGAAGTCCACTAAGATGTGGCTTATTTTGATGTCTTCCCCTGCACCCCCCACTCTAACAACAACAACAACAATACACATGTCAGAGGAAAGCCAGTGACTGTGGTCAGTACATGCACAAAACCCAGAAAAGAATGACTGGACTCCGTTTCCATGTCAGGTATCAAAGAAAGGAGTACACTTCTTCTCGTGTTTCCTAGCTCACTACTCTGCTGGATGCTAATGGAATTTGAGGTTCATGTAAAGGAGAAAGAGGCAAAGTGATCAGTTTGCTTCTGGCCATGGCTCAAGGTTTGATTTTCACCTGAACAATGGCCCTCACAGTTTTGTGCCTCTTTTTCTGGTCTGTACTTTCAAATTCCAAATTGCTAGTCAGGATGTCTCCATTGCTAGTGACTAAAATGCTATTCAAATTGGTTTGAGAAAGAGGGAGAATTTATTGGCTCATGACACCAAAAACCCAGAGGCGAATCTGAACTTCAGGCAAAGTGGGATCCAGGCACTCAAACACTGGCACCAGGAAATCCCAGTCTTGCTCTATCTCGCAGCTCTCTCTTCCCTGCATTCTCAAGCAGTCCCTCTGAGAGTATCAGAATTACCTTCTCACAGTGAAAGATCCCAGCAGACAAAAGCTTTCTTTTTCCCAACAGTCCTAAGAAAAGCTCCAGATTGGAGCTTAGTGTTTGCACTGTATTCGGGCAACTTGCTTTTCTCTGAATGTGTGGCTGCAGCCAAGGGATATGACACCTTGGCTAGAGGTGACTCCTCTGAAGCCGGAGGTGAGGTTAGCGCCCCCCGCCCCATTCCTCTCCCCCATATCTCACATTTGAAAGTGTGGAAGAATAAGAAAAAAAATCAACACATAAATTAAAAATAACCTGTAAGTCCATTTGTATTTATAAAATGAACCAACAATAATTTAGCACATAACATATGAAGAGTAAGAATTCAGGAAAACATTAAGTTCACGTATTCATTCAACACAGTTACTAAGTGCCTACCATGTGCCAGGGACTGTACCAGGCTCTGAGGGTGTAAGAATAAGCAAAACAGATTTTTAAAAATCCTTGCTTACATGAAGCTTACATCCCAGTAGGTGTGTCTATCTGTATACCATCTTCAAGTCTCCTCTGTCGTTGACAGAAAATAGTATGTCAATAAACATGCAGGGCAAATTCTCAGTGAGTGCTTCCTCTAGGCGCGCTTTCCCCTGGCGCTCTGCCTCATTATTCTCTTCCTCCTGGGGATTAAAAACAGGTTTCAGAGAGATGCAGACACCTGTTCAAGAGCCAAAGGAAATAAGTGGTGGAATCAAGACTGAAACTCACACCTCCATATCTGCCTTTTAACTTGTACCCTCTCTTAGGGTGTGGATGGATGGGGGAGGGGGTTATGCGGAGGGGTGGGGACTGTGGCAAACTGGAGAACAAACTGTGCAAAGGGAGCCACTGTTATTCAGCTCCAGCCACTTGTCAAAGGGGAATGTGGCCCAGTGTGGCCAAGTTTTCTGATTTTTCAAGAGAAGCCAGCAAACAGGATTTTGATGTGAAAACCAAAAACACTGTGAAAGCCAAAAATAATCCAACTGGGCATAATTCAGGCCACAGGTCTGTCCCTCTGCTGGAGGCCACACTTGCCCAGGAGGGGCCCTGGGCAGGTAGGATTCCAAATAGCAACCCGGAAACTAAATATGGGCCAAAAAAACCCTGCAAATAGAGCTGTGGTCTTTGCATAAAGTATTTATTTCTTAGGTTGATTTTATAAGGCTAAGGTAGAAAAGTGGTGCCCTTGTTTACCAAAAAAGCAAAGTCCTTAATGAAAGGTAACCGCCAGGGAGGGAGCAGCTGGAGCATTCCAACCCCCTCCTGTGGGGGAGGTCGGCAGAGAACCACCCTTTGCTGGGT